GAAAAGTCAGCAAGTTGAGGTTTAAAAATAGTTTATTTCCTTAAACATTGTTATTTTTTAAAAAATATTTCTTTTATCAGCTTGGTTTTTTTAACTTATGTATACTTCAAAAGGAAATGGAAGAACATGACTCAAATTTGACAAAATATCCAGCATAGTAACATCCACTATGTTCAATTACTTTTCCTCAAGCTGTTACCTCTTCCCTTTCTCAAAAAATCTTAGCAAACAACAGAACCCCACTTCACAAAATCTAATGCAACTATCAAGTTAAATTTTAAAAATTGGCCCTTATAAGATGCCTAAACATTTTGGCTTTTAAATCTAGAATAAACATTCTTCGTTAACAAGATTTTAGCAATAAAAAAATCTTTGTCTTATAAAATTGTGTGTTTAAATATTTAAAACATCTTAGCATTTATTAATTTTATTGAATGTTTTGTGAAAATCTGCCTTTAAGAGGGTGGTGGGAAGGATGAGGGAAAAATTTGCCTTCAAATTCTATTCATTTCACTGAATAAATTTTTATATTATCTTTAAAAAGATGCATTTAATAAACATTACTTGTAAACAAAGCTACAAAATAAAAATAATTATGTCAATTTTGAAGCAGCATTGTTTTATAGAAGACTTTGTAGTAGGTCTTATAATTAGTTTCTGGCAGACCTAATTTTTACAATCCACCTATCATGGCATTTTAAAATTACAAGATGTCCATATGTTTTTATTCTGCTTGAGAAAGTACCTGTTTCTAGTCTTATGATTAATACCTGACATTCAAGGAATAGCAGTACACTACCTACAATACTATTAGTCACAGAATTTACTGAAATATTTTTTAGGTATAATTTTTTAAAAAAGAAGTATTATGAAACTTTTCAGTAGAAGTCCAATGTTAGAAGTAATCATAAATGAAGCCAGAAGTCAGTTTCCGTCTTAAAGAATTTCTTCAATGTCTTCTACTGCTAAATACTTTGATTTTGAAAAAAATGGTTCAGAGGAAAAGTCTGCTAGAATGAAAATCCTGGACATATTTTAAAAATCTCCACCATCCAGATTTAAGCTTATTCCTTGGTGAGAAAAACAAATGAACAAACAAAATCTCTACTAGATAAAATAGACAATTGCCTAGAAGGCAAACAAAACAAAACCCTCTTTAGTCTTGAATTTGG